TTGAAAGCTTCATTTGTAATGCATTTTTTGCATTTAAAGACCATGTGTTTGCAAGTGCCAAATGAATTACATTTCTTATGATTCGACACAAAAATAAAAGAAAAAGAAATAAATTATGCATGAAACAACTGTTGGGCTGACTCTGCATAAAAGGGTGTTGAGCTCTTAGTTCAATGTCGCAATTCAAGGTGAAGAACGTTCTGGAACACTTGTGAATATTTTATTGTTCTCAGAGCTATAGAAAATCAGACAAATGAGTAAAAATATGAAATTTCTCTTTTTCATTCGATTCATATCATGTGAAAATGAGTCTCTTTTCTTTTCCAAAAGTATCAACAAATAAATTCGTACTTAAATAATGCAGTATTCTAATTGTATATCAGTGTTTCCGAAATGTTTCGTTATACCTCTTTTGTTATATGAAATTTTTCGTGCTAAGAATAAGAATCAAAATCTTCCACTGACATTTCAATTTCTTGGCGTACTGAAATTTTCATTAGCTTACCCTGAGAGAAAAAGCAATTCTGTATCGATTTCACAGAAACTTCTATCCATAATTCTGCCAAATATTTATTAGATCATGATTCAGTTACTAAAGAAGCTTGGAGAGTAGCTACATAATGCAAACACAGAGCAGGCTTCTTAATTATTTTAGTACAAAATATTCTACTGTTTACAGAAAAAACTTAATCTGCAGTTCTAGTTGTAAATGAACACATAATTATTTAAGCAGGGCTTTAGTATTAAATTATTAAATTGAAAATTATTATTAAATTAAAAAGGTGATAGTAAAACTTTATCTTGCGAACGGAGCTGTCACTGTTATTTTAAAAAGAGGTTTTCCCTAAACATAATATTGACATAATGTAAAATAATGATAGTAATAAATTTGATTATTCAAGTATTTATGATTTATTTATTTCATTATTTTACGATTGTCTTGGTTGTTGACATCAATGCAATTACTGTTTGCACTTTTGAATATAACAGGTGTGTTGATTTTATTCAGTAGAATTTTGTTATCATTAATACTATTGTTATTATTTTGAATGCTTTTCTATGGAAAAAATATGAATAAAGTTAATGATCATATATTTTTCGAGCATCAGTTATAGAGCTTTTTGATGTTAGAAACGACCTTATCACACTCTTTCCAAAATTTTAAAACATTACGTTACTCTACGCCAGGGTTTCTTAAACTTTTTTCAGTCGCGATCCCCTTTGATCACTGAGATTTTTTTGCCACCCCCCAGGACCCCATAATATTTACAAAACTTTTGTGGGACCCCATAAGTATTGAGTAAATCTGACACACACGTGAATGAAACTGTCAGTTTTCTTACTTGTACTGTAATATATTATTGCAGTTTTAGATCATTAACTTTAATTTCTAATTGAAGACTGTTCTAATTGCACATTTAAATACGTAACAGCGAAAGACATCGTCAGTGCAAGCAAGGGAAATAACGTTTCTATTATACCATAATGCGTCAACGTTTTGTTTTTCTTTGCTGTATTGTCTTATATTTATCTATTTTCAGATACGGTGTGTAAAGATATTTGGTAATTGTAAAATTATTATAATAAGTTAAAGAAATATCAAAACTCGACCCCCTTGCTGCAGGTCCTGCTACCCACAGTTTAAGAAACCCTGCTTTACGCTATTTAGAATGTATCGCTGTTTGCATTGGCAAGAATGCCACTGCCCGAAACAAAAGTCCTACGTACGATTTATTTTCTTGCGTCCTCCATTAACCAAATAATTTGGCAAAATCTAAGATGTTTAATTTAGCACTTAACTGTGATTAGTCTGTAACTGCTTAAGAAATGAGCTATTTAAAAGCAATAAATACATTTCGTAACAATTAAAGCTTTATTTTATTTTTAATACTATGCCTAATTGCTATAAATTAAAACACATGCAGCGTTATTGTAATTGATAAACAATGTGTCCAGCGCCATGTATTATAGTCGGTGCAGAATGGTTTGTTTGTGCTTTTTATGGATAATTATGAAATATTTTAATCATTGATTAAAGAAATAAAATAATGGAATGATACATTTTTTTTCTTTTTTAGATGTACCTTCAAAAATATGGTTATATGAATGAATCCAGTTCTAATTCTGCCTCCCTTGTAAGTGAAGAAGCTGTCTCTTTGGCTATTAAAGATTTTCAGAGGTTCGCTGGCCTCGTGGAAACAGGTTCGATTCCTCTCTTCTTTTTTAAGCGCCTTTAATAATGCTTCTTGTTCAAAGTAGCTGTTAAAAAGTAATTAATTCTTATCAGAATGTAAATATTTCTAATTTCAAATGAACATAATTTCTGTCTTTTTATTTAGTTTACGTATAATACGTGCGCGTAGAGGTAAACAACTTCTCGTTTTTTAAAAAAATCAGTTTAAATTTTTTGATGGATTTCATGTTTGAAACTTAAAGATGCAAGTATTTTATCTTTAAGGTTTAAATTCTGTTCTATTCTATAAGCATTTCAATGCATATAAACGGCAACGCTGAAAATATTCTTATGAAGAAGGCAGCAATATGAATAAAAAAGTACATTAAGATGGGTTCTTTCCAATCATATCAGTATTCAGAACTTTATAAAAAATTGTTAAGAATGGTTAAGAAATATAAACAAATAAATAAAGAATTATTAAAATTAAATAGATTGTAATGTGATAAAAATGTAAATAGATTAAATTAAACTAGTTATAAGTGGATAAGTAATTAATTAAGTAAAAGCAGTGTTTCACAGAAATTGAATGATGTAATAAAACAAATGAATGGTGAGTAAATTGATGATAACAAGCTATCATATCGAATATTGAGAAAGATAAATGCTTTTTTCCGCAGTATTCTTGTAAATTCTTTCAGCAGTAAAACTGCATTCTTATTTTGGCTTCTAATCCATTCGAAGCCTTTTTTTACCACATTGATAAAACCAGCACCCCCTAAATATTAGGACAGTTCGGAGAATGTTGCTAACGCTCGTTAATATCCCCCTTTCCGAAGAAATTTTGGACGTGGGGGATTTCTTTGCCAGGCCTCAAGTTTTCCCGCGTATTTTGCTTTTCCGAAAGAGAGGCGCCCACCAGCGGCCGAGCGGTAAAGACGCTGAACACTGGTACCGTCGGTTGAGTTCGAAAAACCCCGACCCGGTCCGGCTGCGCTGCTATGGGCGTTTGGGTTTTCCCCTGTGTAACGTGATACGAGCCCGTTTCCCTAGAAAGTCTCCACGAAAGGCATCCCTCCCTTTAGGCAGATAGCCCTCGTGTGCTTTGCCATAATTAAATACACCAAAAAACACCGAAAGAGAGGCATCCATTCAACAGTTAGTATCAATGTCAGTTTTACTAGCTACTAAAATTAATGTTACACTAATGATTTACTGCTGTTATTACAATTGAAGAAAGTAACGGAGCCCATTTTATTCATTTGAGAAGGGGCTGTAATGGGCTCTAATGGAATTTAAGCCCTGACATCTACATCATTGTATATTATTGTAATGCTGCATGTACTTAACATGCTATTACTTTGACCATTCTGGCTTATATCTGGAATAATGCTTGCTGCACAAAGTTTTTTATGTTTCGTCAAAGAAAATTTTAGTAATTGTAAAAAATAAAGACAAGATTTTGCTGTATAAAACAAGAACAATATTTTGATTTTCGGAAAATATTTCAGGTTCAGTGATCGAAATGATTATTAACAAAATCAGTCTTAGCTTAAGTGTTGGCGCTGTGGTATTGAGAAATACCTATTAATGTCTACTTTATGTCACTGTTAGTTTTGAATTTTGCGAATAAGTAAATAATTATTTAGTTTATTATGAAATCCAGAAAGAACATTTAAAATAGAAACATGAATGTAAAAGATTAAACGAGAAACGTGGGTAGCATTTTTCACCCAGACGTTTTTATAATTCTTTAGAAAAAAGTTTTGTAGCGCAGAATACAATAAATAAGCATAAATTCTGCACCTAACATTTAGTTAATGATGTATATTTAAGAATTCTGTGCGGTACTTGCCTTAAATGCAGGTTAATTTTCTATACTGAAAGTGAAATTGCTTATTACTTTACATTTTTGGACTATTTGGTTTCATCAAATATTTTTACTGATTAAAATATATTATATAAATATCTTTTAGTGTCTAATATATTCTGATATTTCAACTGTAATAAAATAGTTCGTCAAATTATTAATGCGTATTTTAATTGCTTTATAAAAAAAGTCACATTTTATGTTGAATTTTAGCTTAGCCTTTTTCAACATTTTCGCATTTGTATCACAGAAAACTTAAGCCTTTATAATCCCCTAATTTCGATTTCTCTAAACTTTTCTGTTTATTAATAATATATATTCTTCTCTGGAGGCAGGAGATAATTTCTAGTTTACTGATAAAAAGTAGTTGCTGCGATTTTTGTTTTCCTAATTCAGACTCGATATGAAAATTTAGCATATGATTTTAAAAAATGAAAGGAAATTAAAAATAATCGGTATTCATCTACGTATATAATTCATGTTGTATTGATAATGATATTATTGATTTTATCATTTCATTTTGAAGAAAATAATCTGAAGCTATTGCAATGGATCTGTAAAGTCATATGAATGTTTTTTTTTTTGCAGGAAAGCTTGACAACACGACCCTGACGATGATGAACTTACCCCGATGTGGGGTTCGAGACAAGGTAGGCCACAGTGGTTCTGCACGCAAGAAGCGGTATGCTTTGCAAGGTAAGATAGATTGCGTCATTCTAACCGCAACCGGTTTCTACAAACGAATTAGCTGTTTCTACTATTATCGAAAGTTTCTGTTGTTGTAAAACAACGTCTATGTGATGTTTTTGTTAAAGTCGAAGGTTTCTGTTGTCGTAAGACAACGTTCTGTTGTATCCACTCGCCCATTTGGGAAATTCTTCATGGGGTGTCTCATTCCTTTGTTTATATCATCGGTTGCGTATTTTTTTTATTATTGTTATTTAAAGCTTATACGCAGAAGTATTATACAAAGTGTGTGTAACATATGATCTATTAGAACAATTCACATCAAAACTGAGTTAGGACATACTCTAGTTCAAGCTCTTCTGTAAATTTGGAGTAGCATACATTGGACAGACCACAAAACAACATTAGAACGACAATGTGAGAACAGGAGTGATACATATAGTTATGTCAGTTACAAAAGTTAAATGTTACAAGAAGTGCTTTTACGTTGGACTTCCAAATAAAACTAAGAAAACAAAATGCCGAGGAATAGAGATTTCTGGTACGCCAAATAAATGATCGAAGCCACTGCCATCGTGAAACCAGGACATGATTGTTGCGTAACCCATAAGGCCCAAGTCTGTAAATATAGATTTTAAACGTGCCAACATATCTTTAAACTTCTCATAGTCATATTTTTCTGTAATAAAAAGAGGATAATAGGCTTTGAAGGTCCTGGAAAGAAATAATTACTTAACTTAGTATCCCAGGTTTTCTTAATTAGGCCCTAAGTGAAACATAAAGAAACTGTACGTAAAGGATTGTAAATTATAATCAAATTCAAAAATCTTTTATTTTCTCAAACCATCCAGACGTATACTATCAGTCTACCTACCCTACTGAAATCTCTTGTAAACTGATTTCCCAAACGTATAGCCGTTGTTAGCCGTTAAGGTACGTGTATTCAAGTAGGTTGCCGATTTATTTGTCTATATGAAACAGTTGTCTTGCAAATAAAGTGTGCAATTACATTATAACACATGTAGCAAGAAAAAGGATAAGTAAACTAGTCCCTGAAATTGTATCTCTTAAGTAAAAGATTCTGACTGTGAAAACTTAGTTTCCAATGCTCTTAATCTTTAGCTTTTGTACCGATTCTGTAATATATATTGGGGTGTTATAATTAAACTTCCACTATAAATGGCATCTTACAGCGGAAACGGGTGAACGGAGTACAACGAAATTTTGTATATGGGCTATACACGAAATGCGCTCTTGGAATTTCGAAAAAAAAAAAAACTTAATTCCAAACTGTCCTTTTCGATAAAAACATGAAACTTAACGCAATAAACGACCAAAACGGAATAAAGAAACAATATTAACATTTATTGACTAGTTTCTGGTCACCTTGTTATCAAACCATATTAAGTAAAGGTAAGGGAAAAACAAAAACAGTTCAGTTTGCCGGAACAACAACAGATTAGGACGAAATTGCACAAAAGAAGCAATTGTTAATCGTGTCCAGGATGATGTAGAGAAGTATGCTCCACGTGACCACCCTCATTCACCTGCAAAAATTTCAAGTCGATGGACAGTGTGTTCAACAACACATCGTAACTGAGCAGTTGTGAGGCTTCGCATATGAAACGTTATGAGTTCGTTAGTCATTCATCGTCGCAACCTCCACGATACACCAGACTTTTTGACAGCCGCTAACCAGAAATGCACGGCGTTAGATCGGCAACATTGTGCCATGGATTAGGAAAGACGACTAATAACACGGTCTTCTATGAATGCTGGAGCTCTAGCACCTTCACGGACCCTGGATAAGGGGGAGCACCCAATGAAATGGTCGATGGGACCACCTTGCGTAGTTGCGGCACAACCTGCATCATGTAATGGTACCGACAGCCAGTAAGGACTCAATGCGAGACGTTGTGCTTTATCAGCCGCTCCGGGTAGCGGATATTGTATCGGAATAGTGCATCTGTTTTGAGTACTTTTCGGACGGTGCTTAAAAATAGCCTGTCGTGAGAACTGCACGCGGCTACTGCCTCCAAAATTTTGAAGTCTGGACTCTTTTAACACTGTTGACGCATTAACGTACGGGTCGTGGCGTTACGCCTGCATCTCCAGGTTGATTTCTGCAATTTTCCCCGTTCTTCTTCAAATCTCTTAATCATGCCCGGATACCTTTAGTATACTTGGTTCCACGAAGTACGTTTTTTTCTAAGACAATTCACGAACTGCAGTCAGACGCATATCCCTTATTTAGAAAAGCTTCGCTATAAGCACATTTAAGTAAAAGCGTCATTAGTACAGCCGAAAACATCAACTTACACTGACAACGTCGCAAAGTTTATACTCTAACCTGTTTTGCATAAGCTCTTTCTTCCAAGCACGAATCCGACCTTTTTTCCTACAACTGACCGCTTCCAGGTTTTCACATTATTATCAAATTTGTCTAGATTGTTAATATTGTTTCTGTATTCCGTTTTGGTCGTTTATTGTGTTAAATTTCATGTTTTTCCCGGAGGAAAGGCGCCCTCTGGTGGACATTTTGGAACTCATTTCCCCCCCCCCCGAAATTCCTTGAGCGCATCTCATAGTCCATATACAAAATTTCGTTGCATTGTGTTTACCGGTATGCGCTGTAAGATGCCGTTTATAGGGGAAGTTTAATTATAACCGCTCGGTACTTGTGCCTCTTTTATCTGTTTGGATAGTTTTTCGCAGTCTTAAAATATTGCATTTTTTTGTGGCGATTCATAATAACATATTGCTTTGAAGTGCGACTCCTGATTGTATTTTCTAGGATTCATTTTCATTTGTGATAACCATTATCAAAATTCTTCTCTTCCATTAAGTTGTAGAGTCATTAATTTGCAGGTAATTTTTTTGGAAGCAGAAAAGATGAAAAATATGCAACCGCCTTCGCCGGGAATCGAACCATGGACCTCTGGAATACCGGCCCAGCGGGCTACCGTTACACCACGAAGGCACGCTACGGAAGTGGGAGAAATACCTTATAAAGTGACCAAACTAAAAAATGCATTTAGAATTATACTTGCAAACGCTTTGATTGTATTTAATAAAAGTAAATAACCATACGATTTATTAGCAACATTTCAAACCCTTTATTTTATTGAAATTAATTACGTACACAGACCGAAACCTTTCTTTCAACCCCGTCCTTTGCAAGATTCGAAGTTTTTGTTGAAAACTGCGATCAAACGAATTTCTAACTAATAATATAAAAGGAAAATAACATTTACTTGCATACTTCTACATAACGATAGAGCTGAGAAACTTCCGTTTTCCCAGACGAAGACCAGTTTCTTTTCGTTTAAATTTTATTCAGTTACTCTTGTATCATAAAGATTCAGTTACTAAAGTTAGTTCAGTTAAAAACAGAGAAGCATTAACAACTATCACATGAGGTGAATTGAAAAATAGACTTTGAAACTGTACTGATCAAATATATGATTGTTTTTTTATCTCTTTCAAAATACTGACAGTTCTAGCAGGTTGTTAAGCAGGAAAACATCGTCATCGTTTTCTTTAACTGTATCCCAAATTCGACGTTATACTAAGAACGTAGAATACAAATCCAGAAGTTTCTGAAATAATGTTTCATCGTTTTCACAAATATCTAAGATAACATGTTTCGTTATTACTGAGTCAAATTTTGCCTAATATTAAAGTTTTACTGAAAAGTAAAATCAGTTGCGTGTCCTGATTGCTAAGTTCTTTAGGATTCTTTCTCAGATTGATTTTATGTACCATACAGCTGTCTGCAAAATTCTGCTGAATCCTTTTCTTCATAATGGAAAGTAGAATCTTTGCCAAAGGCAAATAAAATATGACTTTCTGTTATGAAAATGCGTTTTACTAATTATTATTATAATATTTCACTTAAAAAAGTGTAGGTGAAATATAGATGCCGATAGATAAAATGTGGAAACGCGGATTGATCTTAAAAAGTGTATTTATTTAGATTAATAATATTACTTATAACCAATGGGTTGTATGAATATAACGGAAATGCGGGGTTCATTTCTCTTTTACAGTCTTAATTTAGCGATTTACCCTTGTTACGCGGTAACTTATTTGCCTACTTGAACAATTGTGTTCACCGGATATCCTCTAAATAGTTGCTTGCTTGGCCAGTTTTTTATCCTACTCTCTTAGAAGCGGCAAGTTGATGGAAGAGCCATCCCAAATCCACCTACCTTATTCACGATTGCTAAATTACGCTCATGTGACGTCAGTGGCGCTTGTTTTCCGCGTGTATTTATTCGACTGATCCGGGATTGAAGTTGACTCACCGTTATTGATATCGACCTTGAGAAATATATTCGAGTTGCCTGAAATGGCCTAAAATCGAGATTAAACTCAGTGCTCCAATCTACTTTATCATTTTAAGGTCTCAGGAAAGGAATTACATGCGCATAATTCGAAGCTTAAATCCAACAGATCAAATACAGTGCAATATCATAGTGATGGAAAATGAAAAATTACAAAGCTTGAAAAAACATTGTTTCGTGAAGATGAACTAGTGTTAAGGCATCTCAAATTAATATTTCAGAAATATGAAAGTGCTACACGTGCGAATATCAAATTCTTTGCACGTGTAGTTTGTTAAAATGTATATAATAATTTAGCAAAGCACTGCTTGCTTAAAAAGTTTTTTTTAAAAAACGTTTTTTAAAAATCTTTGTTTGTAATTTAATTTGTAAAGCATGCAGCAATTGTTTCGGGAATGGTTTCGTAGGTTTAAGGAAAACCTTTAAAAATTAATTTAAGTTATAGCAATTTCGTTCATCATCATCATCATCAATCATCTCGTTCAAGCCGTAATGAAATATTTTGCGAATTAAAAGTAGTACTTATTATGTAAAATCTACCTGTGGATGATGATAATATTCAGTTTTTAATGTTTTCAGTTTTTAGCCTTTATAATCATCTGATTCCTTCATTATTGAAGAGGGAATTAATTGAAAACTCATTTAATGAATACTCAAATGCTTCCTTCGTATGGACTTTAATAATAGATAAAATTTTATTCCGTGTGTAAGTATGAAATTCCTCCATTATTAGAATGCCGATTTTCCTTTTAATTTCTGGGCTATAAATAAAAATTAAATATTTTAATGCCACTAGTCACAAAAGAAATTTGATCGAAAGGTAGCGCAGATGTGTACATGTTAAGTTGATCATAAACATATAACAGTGGATAGTGTAATTAAATATATGATGATCATCCTCCTCATTATGCTTAAAGAATCCCCCCGATTATGACGCAAGACATCCACCTTAATTTCAGAATTCAGTAAACGTTAATTTATTTGTTTGCTACCAATAAGAAAACGTTCGATGCATTTTACAGACATGACCAGTGTCACTACGTCACACACAAAACAGAGAATTAACGTTGATTGATGACTATATTCATTTAATTATTATTTATTTAGTTTTCATTCGTTATGGAAAATGACTTCAGCTTCTCGATGTTTTATTGCAACTTCACTTTTGTTTTTCACTTTTTTAGACCTAGATTTTCGTTTGATTTATTTTTATTAATTCTCTTTCTTTCAGTTTGAATGAATTAAGTTATTTCTTTAAACAGAACTAGAAACTGCTATTCTGAACAGCTGTAAAATTTTTAATTATTCTTTCCCTTATAAGTTTACATTCTTTAATTACCTCATATCTGGAAATTACAGTCTCTGTAGGAAAATTTGGTTTAAATTTGAATGTTTTTCTATTAAATCATGTTTATTCTTTATTATTATAATGAAAGTTAGCTGTTCTTACGTATTGAAGAATTTTAAACAACGGTAAGCAAAATAAAATGTTTACCAACGTAATTAAACTACGTAATTAAACTTGACAGTAACAGATTGTTTTTTCAGTACTTTAAAAAATGTTTAAAGTAACGTGTTAATTGCTGAGAAAACACGAATGAATCTTTTATTAAACGTAATAAAAACTATATGGCTGAAACTTATTATAAGTAAAAAGGCTGGAATTAAATAATGTATATGTTTATATTTTACGAGTATAACTTCGAACTAAATTTCTTGCTTTCACCCAGTAGTATTAGATTTTATCTAAAATTCAGGTAAAAATATACCTGAATGTATTGATTGTATATAAAACCTAGATCAGCTTTGGGCATACATATAGAAATGCTAGTAATTTCTGGTAATAAAACAGGAGCTATTTGGTATCTGGATGTATTTCGGCGAAGACCTTCTTAATTGAAACTCGCTTAATTTACATACATGGAAAATCTAAGAAACATCTGTGGCTACTTCATTCTTTCAGCGATAATTACATCTATAACAGAACTGATATTCTGAGACTTAGCCATACGGCGAAGCATAATTTTTATGCCGACTTTTCTCGTGATGGCACTTTCCTCGCACTGAAGAAAATTTACTATGAAATTCGTATTCGAGAGGGCAAATGGTAAAATAAGTAAAAATGATCTTTAAACTATCGATATCCATGGACTGATTTTGCCTAAGACCTTTTTTCTTAATTTTTAACATCAAGATATTATAAGACAAGTAAAAAATCTTAATAACAAATAATGTTATTACAAATAGAATAACTCACAATAAAATCTACTCTTCATTCCCACATAAGAGAAAGCATTTACTATCTATCATTAAATTTGCTTCTCGAAGAAACTGATAAAATACTAAACTATATTAACAAGCAATAACAAATAATAAATCGGAAACTACCGTACACAATTAATGTTTTAATGTGAATTTCTATGAAAATAATATGAGACTAACATTTTGAGTTTTTTTTCAAATCATACCAGAAAATATATTGACAAGATATAATGTGGAAGTCATGTACGGATTTCGAGTTTTTTAAGGTTTATTATTATTAAAGTTCGTTTACCTGGGCGATTATTAATGTAGATCTTGGTCTGTGTAAAATTTTGTCTGAAAGGCTAATTTATCTTTTTGAATGTTCATTGAAAACAGTACTTACTAAGATAGGTCCAGTAGTTTATAATGAAAGAAGTAAAAGCGATGATTTTTCTGTTTTCAAAACATTTGTTTATCATGATTGGCTGCTAACAGGTCAGACAGGAAATCGAAATTTTTTAAGTACCCATTCATAATGACCAGACTTTATCCTATGCAACATATCGTTATTTTGGAAGCCTAAAAACTTGTTTTAAAGTTATTCTTTTCCGCTGTGTTCAAACAGTTGGAAAAACAAAAGAAAACAAGATTTTGGGGCTGATTTAAGAATGATTCCTAAAACTGTCAACTGCAAAATTTTCTAGAAACATGAAAAATATCTGGTGAAGATTATTTCGAGCAGATTGATTTAGCTTTTTTACAAAAAATGTTTTGTCATTATTTCGTATATTTTTAATGAAGCCGCATAAATTCAGTTTTCAAAAATGCGCCTTAAATATTTAATTGTGAATACTATATATTTCCTTGATTCTGCTTTCATTGAATGGTACTTTATATGTAAGCAGAGATATCTGTGCTTTTGTAGAAAAAGGCGGTGTCCAGAATGCTCAACTTTGTGATTTTTGCATCAGTCACGATAAAATAATTAGTTTCTCATGAAATGAAAAAATACCCAGTATCCATCCACTTTTATATTCTAAATTAGAATCCTTCTGAGGAGACCAATGTAATATATGCATTCAAATATAAGGGTTATTATTTCACTTATATGTGAGTTAAAATAAGATATAACTACCATGCCCTTTAGAAACTGATTGAAAGAATTTACGAGTAGAGATATGTTTCTTTGAAGACTAGAATATTACTAAAATATTAAAAAGTTTTTTCTCAAAGTTTCAAAATGGACTTTTTTCTCAAAGTTTCAAAATGGACTTTTTTATCAGTTATAGATATATTTTTCTCACTTTTTATTTCTGAATTAAATAATATCTAGCAAATTTATTGTTATAGCTTTCTCATACAAATGCATTATTGATTCGATAAAATTTTAATATTGCCCCGAATAGAAGATGGCTTTACGCGGTTGATAATCCTGAATTTTTTAAGTTGTTTTGCTAGCAAAAAAAATCTCTCTTTGATGAGCAAAGGCAGCCCATGTATGATCCTCATCCGTTGAAAGTTTTCGGCATGAAAAATAACCAGATGGTCTTAATACCATACCCTGATGTAACTTTGCATATATTTTCTTTAATAAAACATAAATATCATCATTTTATGATGATTAATGTATTTTTAAATGTTAGGCTGAACATATTCAATTTTTAGACAGGCATTTTAAAGAAAAGGACGTCTGTCTGATAATATACGAATCATAAAATATTTTTAGCTGTAGAAAATTCCTGATATCATTGCCTCATAATGTAGAAATCGAAAAAAAAGCAAAATAATATACGTTATACAAAAATAGAATAAGCGCATTTGTAATTCCTTAAAATACGTATGGATTTTTTTTCTTTCTGATTTATGAATGTTCGGGATTATTATTTAAGTTACAAGTGTAATTTGTAATAGCATTATTGTAATAGTCTTTACGTATGGTGGTATAATACTGTTATTCATTCTCTGAGGATTAATTTAATCTACATAACTCGCTGAACTTCTTAGAAAAGTCGGGAATAAAGTAAGAGAAAGCAAAAATAATACGATCAGTTTTTTTTTTCGCAACCGGATGATACCTTTGTATATTTGTTGCAGGAAGCAAGTGGCGCGTAACTGACTTGACGTATCGAATCAGCAAGTATCCTCGCAGGCTCAAGGATCGTCAAAAAGTGGACAAAGAGATCGCCAAAGCATTCAAGGTAATTCGCTGTTTTTTTCCTCTTCGATTGTTGAGAGAAATCCATTGTCTTAAACGCTGTACGATAGTAGCTCATGGAAAAAGTTCTGTTATGGCTCTGTTTAACATTTGTGTAGGTTTTACATTAAATATTCACTTTTTAAAGGAAAAACAAAATTTAATCTTAATTTCAGAAATCAAATTATAATGATCTTTTACATATCAGAAACTTAATTTTATCAGTTACATTCATATATTAATAAAAATATTAGTAAAATTATAAGAAAGCTCATCCTTAAATATAATTCATGTAAATCTTCTTTACAAATAAATTTTAAGCAAAAATTTAGAAAGACTATGTAATCTTCCTTCAAAAACTTCTAATAAATAAAATTAGCACTTCTTTATTTGTGTGATGTGGAGAGATAACTGCATGTGGTTACCGAAATTTAAAAGTAAGGTGGGAGCACTAAATCATATGTTCTTCACTATGCAATATTTTTAAATATTGTGTTAAAATTAATTTTAGGTAAAACTGACGCGCATTTTGTTTTTAAATTAAAATAAGTAATAATTATATAGTTATTTTTTATATTTTCTGAGCTTAAAAAATCAATGATAAAGTATAAGAAAATTGCATTTAAATGTTGTATAACCTCATATTTCATAATCGTATGATTCAGTCAATACATGGACCATTACCAATATACATATAGGAAGAGATGCACTTCCTCTATGCGTCTATGTAAATTCTTCATAACATTAATGAAATTAGTAGCCTTGTTTACTTAATTTTTATGTCGTAGTAAATTAAATAAAAATAATAATGGTATTGTATATATGTCATGTCTGTTTAGCATCCATTTTAAATGACGCTTGAAAGCTGACATCTGAAAAACATGTTCCACATCGGATTCCTCGAATGCTTATGACAGTCATTTCATATTTACTTTATTATTATAATTATTATTTTCATTTGTTAAACTGATGAAGATTCAATGTTCAGAATTATGCTGTAATTCGTGTTTGAACTTTTCTTTTTATATATACCGAATTGGTCCGTTTTAAAACTAGTTTACATGCAGACCACCTTGAATTTTTAGAGGTGTGCTGTAAGATAAAAAATGGCTGGGAACTAACATGACTTATACGAATGACATTAACATGACTTATACGTATACGAGCTTGATATATCGAAAGTATTTTACGAAAACAAAAATTAAACACTCTAAATTTTTATTATTGAGGTAAAATTAAGTAAGTATATTTTCTTTTGACGTAAAAGTTAAGAAACATGACCAGTGTAGATTTCAAAAGAGCATTTCATATTATATATTTAAAATAAAACTTATTTCCGGAGTATACAGTAATATAAAATGTAATGCAGAAATTAAAAATTACGATTCTGAATATCTCCGTCATGTTAAATAAGTCATTATTATGGCGCGCCGTTCTTGAATTACACGGAGAATATGAAGCATAAAAGAACATTTCGTACTTTATAGTCACCCTCTCCCCGGAAAAAAAAAAAAAAAAAAAAAAAGATCTTACTGACTATGAATACGAAATAAAAGAACAACATAAAATGGCTATAATTCTTTTATTATTTTTAACATTCGCTCACAATCGAGTTATACTCAAAATATCTTAAAAAATCATTTGTCCTTTCGTTTTGCGCTTGTTGTCGAAATGCAAAGAAGGACGCTGGCGAGTTCGTGATGCACATTAGGGAAGCGTTTCCTCTGTGTGTATGTGTGGTAATGGTTCGTGGATGGACCGATTCCGGCTCATTAAGCGAAGGTCGAACTTCGAAACGTCGTTTATGCTGATTGTTCTCTTAAGAAAACTTTATTAGTATGCCTCTCTAAGAGAAGCTTTTCCAAAAGAAGTTTTGCTGTGTGATGTCGATATGCAGATTTGTTGATCGTACCTTTCTACTCATCAGTGCTGAATGAATGGGCATTGTAACAAGGAAGTACATCATAATTGTATCACAGCTTTTAAGATTACTGCTTTAAAACTTAAATATGAAATTCAAAATGAAATCAAAAAGTGAAATTGTCTATAAAATTATTTATATTCACTTCCTCTGTATTGAACTCCTATATATGAAACTCTTATAATCCTAAAATATGTTCCCTTTCCCCTCATTAACTTTGATTCAGCTTCTGAAACTTGATTTTTCAGGTTTTTAAAACCAAGCGAAATTGTGTATGTGTTCTGTTAATTCTGTATTTATGTAAACTAAAATTCTGTATTTATTATATATAAACTTATTCTTATTAGTCAATGCAGTATTCCATAGCAATTTTTTTTCCGAAATACGATATAGGTTTTTAAATTTATTTAAATTACAAAACCTTTTTTACAAATTTTTCAAACATATTCTCTTTAATAATCGAATTATTCATAGTAGAATTTCGATTTATGTTTGCACCTTAACAGAAATTGGAAAATAATACTCCAAAGGAAATTTATTTCAAACCTCCGTATGCCAAGGCAGGTACAGATGAAAACTAGGCAGCACTTCTGTAATACATGTGCTTGAGGTATTTCTGAATCTAGCTAAGTGTTAAGCTTCTATCCAGTTTTGAGAGAGAACCCCTGGAAGAGGGGTACTCCAAGTATTTCTCAATCCTCTTTCCCTAAAACCAGCTTCTCGAGAGGATTTCGGCTCGTCGTGTATTTTGAGCGCCTCCTTACCGCATAGACACTTTATCCTTCTAAACATCATTCCTACTTCTGGATTCGAAACCAGGCCCATCGACAAGTCAGTCAGCGTCACTACCCATTATACCGGCTGTACTCCAAGGTGGGAGGATACACGAATTAAGTAATGTAATAAACAGAAAAAGATGTATATGATATTAACCTCCGTTTATATTAATTCATGTTTGGTCTCAGCTCTTTCTTAGCTATGAGAGAAATATCTCTTCCTTAGATTAGGTTAAGTTAGGTGAATTAATTAATGCAAATCAACTCAAGGACTATCTACCTATGGGAAGGAATGCCTTTATGGAGCACCGTTTTAACGGAAACCTTTTTGTATCCACTTTCACGAAGTGCCCCTTTCACCAGATAGCAAAGTCGAGTCGAACTATGTGTTTAGCGACTTTACATCTGTACCGCTAGTGAATATTACTTCCTCAGAAAATTGTCTTTGTGGCGAAAGAGGCACACCAGAGCGATATTTCTTCTGACGAACGAACTCGTGTTTCGAAGAATATGTTATGAACATTCCAAAATTTCATCACAAAGTCAACAGTGTTATCAAATACCTTTCAAATCATGCAAAAATATTTGTGACCAATAATTGTTACGAAATAGTTAGTCTTCATATATATCCTGCTAAATAATATCTGCATGAAAATATTTTAGAAAGATAGCCAGGAGCCCCTGTAGGATGCTTTCCCTGTTGGATCAGTAGCTTTATAGGTCAGTACCTGTATCACCATATGATACAAGTACTGCCGTACTGCCCCGCAAAAGTTGGTAACCTGGAAGGTATTAATTTAATTGCTTAAAAACAACTACCTCAACAACATAAGTATTTGTGGTTATTGAGCTAAATTTTTAACCCGATGACATATTTAAAAAAAAATAAAGTATATGAATTTATAAATAGTTAAAAAAATGTGAGTAAGTAAAATAGTTCTCACAGTTGCATTCCAATATTACGACCATTCGGTTTCTGTTTACTAATTAATACAATTCTTTTTAATTACTCCGCGCTATTTTGCTTTTAATCACGCGTCACAAAAGATATTATGATAGCTGGTGCCCCGACTGATAGCTGTTGTACTTGTTACAAAAGCTTTTAGCTTTTGCAATTAGTGGGTGGTGAAGATATCTATTGGGATAAAAAAATTATATCGAGGTTGTGCATAAATTTTTTAAGGTTTCTCACAAATGTAGTTTTTAGACGTTGTGTTTTTACCTCATATAAAGATACATGAGGTGTAATTCTATAATAGTGTACAACATATGCGATCCATATATAGGTTAATCGGTACATATTAAATATAATAAACACAGTATTTATAAACACAATATGATCAGCACACCATTGCCAATGCATGCAAATCATATATTATACTAATAATTTAGTCAAGCCGACCAAAAGGGATAGTAATTAGAAACGCTGACTGCCGTATTATAGGTTCGAATCCCGGAGAAGGCATGGATGTTTGTAAATGCATAGTGTTTGTACGGCATGGGGGCACTCTATAAATATGCGGCGAGCCAAAAGTCCTCTCGAGAGGTTGTTTTTAGGGGAAAATAGGTGGGAGACGCTCGGACCCGTCCTCCCTGGATGCTTTTCATCAAAATTGGGAGCGGAACTGAGCAAGTCGTACTGTCACCTGCATGGTGTCAATGATAGGCTCAACCTTGTCACGATGAATTTCGTGGGCTTGTTGTGATGTTATTGTCAGAGAAGTGAGAAGTCGCAATAATATAACTTAGTCAAACCTAAAAATGTATTTCGTTAAAAAAATACAGACGGTTATACATCAAAACATAAATCATGTAAAACAAATCTTATCTATTTATTTCTGATATTATAAATGATATATCGCATATAACAAATATAAAAATGTTGTAAATGATATATCCCCTGTTAAAAACTTATGTATTGCCTTCTATTTTAGAATATTTTATTACTCTTTAATCTACACGCTATAACAAAAAATCGGCTCACCAAGAAGGAATCATCCGATTGCCTTAAAATTTTGTACGCATAAATGTTTTGACCAAATTTGCAAATGATTAAAATTTAGTGTCCAATGACTGAATAGTGCGATCTCCAGCGCATCGTAACTGCGCATCCAGCACATGTATATAACGAGCTGTTCTTGAACTGCTTTTAAAAATTTCTGTTGCATTGCGATTTAGGATACCTTTCAACGACTGAAAAAATGCCTCGCCACAGAATTTAAGGTCATTACGAGTAAAGAGGTCATATCATTGGACTGAAAGAGGCAGGTTGGGCATATCGGAGAATCGCTCGTCATATGAGTCGAA